ACGTTGCGTTCAAGAGGTCGATCTCTTGTTTTCGTTGAATGTTTACGAATACGCACAGAATTGCCATGGGTTTATGTGTCGCGCAATAAAACTGAATTTCTGCAGTCGATCCGCTTGTTTCGCGCTTTTCATTTTGTTTTGCCGTTTTCGCCCTTGCAATCCACATTGATAATTCAATCACTCGCAATCAGGTAATGTGATTTTGGGTATGAAGCAATCAGCGTTTGGTGTGTGCCATCGTCGAGTGYCGCTTATCAAGCTCAGATAGTCAAACAACCAACCTGTCAAGGATTATTTGTTTATGTGATAGGCAGTGTTGAGATACGGTTAATTGTTGTAGCTATAATATAACCAAACTGTCAGGAAATACCTGGTCAATAGTCATTTACTCGCTTACCGATGAGCGTTCTAAAAATCATACTAGTTCAAAAGCAAGGATCGAGTCCACATTCCTTCGGTATAATCCATTTTTTCACAAAAAAGAAATCTAGTGGCCTTTACTAGCGGTTATCAATTCAGCTACCTAGCCCCATTACTACCTAATTGAGATGTGTACAGAAGGAGCTGTGGTTTTAGATATCGAGTCTGATTGAAAGAATCAGACAATTTTTTCAAGGKCGTTCAAAAATGTATGTACAATAAAATGTAACCAACTATGTTGACACAATGACTTCTAAACTCTAACCTAATTGAGCTCCATACGGATCCGTAAGCYGATTCTGAATTTCGTTTCCGTTTGAAAAAAATCGAAAATTTCCTAAACGTGCTTCAAAAAATTAATGTATAACCAAAAGTGTGGAGCAATGGTTGCTGAACACTATCYAATTAAATGGTGTCTCTTAAACCCCCATCTCCACAAAGAGCAAGTATCGACGCTTAATGGGCTTAAAATACTTACTGATAGAAATTATTATTAAGGCGAAAGAACGTGCGTGATTGGACAGATGAGCCAACACAACAATCACAGAAGCAAAATCTCATTATGATCCTCCTTGAATCTACCTATGTATGTACATAGGTTTTTACTCAACTGCTCGTAATGCTAAGGAAGCCAAACTACGTATGAGACTACGGATGGACGAGCACGCAACAACAATAAGCATAACAGCGGCAGAAGTGGTAGCCAACAAAAGGAGGTCGTCGGTTCTCATTGACGTCGACTGAACCCAAACATGGCACACTTCGAGTGAAATGCAAGTGAAATGCAACGCAGCGGATGAAAGTGAAAGCGAAAGCCAATCACTTAACGCTGCAACGCAATAACTRCATTAACCGTAACAGGTAGAACAAGAATATTTCGCAAAGTCATTTGCATGGCAATGAGAACATAGCTTACGCTTACTGACTCACTACAATAACAGCAAGACATGCGAGCTTATGACTGGGGTATATGCCAAGCCGAGCATCGTCGACATTAGCATTAGACGGGACTTCTAATTTAACGGTTTCATAGCAACAATGCGGACAACGATGCTGCTGCAATGTCAGCAACACTGCTCGATAAGCACTAATAGAAATAACCGCAGTGCTGCCTCATACGCATCAGCCGCCAATGAATTGGCAGAAATTCAGACAGGCATGCCGGAATCATGACAACAACAAGGTACCCAAATATACTTAGGCTAAACACTGGACTTATGTGTTGGCGCCTAACTGTTTCGCAGCGGAAGGCTTTCACTGTCACAACAACAACTACAACAGCAGCATACAATTTGATAAGCATATTGTCAGAATGGCTGGAAATACCGGCACACGGCTGTAAGCCACCACTCTACACTCACTCACGCATTTGCACAGCCAAGCAGAAAATCATTAAYGGCACTTGAAAGCGGCGACAGACTCTTGAGTAGGGTGGCAAGGCATGCGAGAGCTACCATTTGAAATACCGGCACACATCCATAGACACATGAATATGTAGACAATGTGCATGCAACAGGCTACTTATCAACAATGTTGTGGCGCCTTTGAATTTCAGAAACGGTGTAAATTTGTGGCAGTCATTGCTGCTATTGCGTTGATAGTGGATGCGGCCAAATGCTGATGATGWTAGTTGACCTAGTTTAATGGGCGCGTTGCTAAACAGCGTTCGCCTAGTAGTAGTAGTGGTTGAAAATCGAAAGGAGAAATGTGCAAGTAACCTACTCGACAATAACAGCAACAATATGTGTACTGGCATTATTCGTGGTATAGTGGTATATACAACTCTAAGCCTGATTTCGATTCTACCTATGAGCTTTGTTGTGTCATTGAGTTTACTTGTTATSTTTGTTGTTGAGATTTCAATGTCAGAGCGAAAGCTGCTTTGGGTTGGTTGTCCGTAAGAGATTTTGAGATCCTCTCCTATCTCTAATGCCAACACAACGATTTTAAAGCACTGTTTTTTAACTTTTTCAAAAGAATTGTTTAGTTTTTTTTTCCGACGTTACTATCGGCAGATAAACCTTTCTCGTTGTGCACAAACTGCTGCAAAGCACACACACTGATTGACATATGGGCATCAAACTTCACATGAACATAAAAACGGTTGTACCGAAATTAGGAAAMTCTTTTTGAACGATTCGGTTTTCAAACACAGTATAAATGGACTTGTCCGAGTCAATTTTGATCAGATGGTACACGTGTACATGCTTTGACTTTCTCTAACCGCTGTCTTTAGCTGTATGCAAATTTCATTATCAATTATGCATTTCATGACTATACGAGTATACATATACATACATACATATGTACATACATACGTATGTAAGTAAGTGAATAACCAAGTAACAGATGTAAACCAAAGAGAGAGGCATAGAAAGAGAGAAAGAGAAAAAATAAGCAAATAAAGTAAATTTAACAAAAAAAAAAAAAAAAATCGGCGACCTTGACATTGACCCAATTGATGATGAATGAGTTCAATGTGCCACAAAGCGGATGTAGACGTTGTATTTGCCCGCCACCACCGCTGGCACAAAAGGCAGTAACAACATAAATAGCAGTTGCGATAACATAAAAAGAGAACAACAACAATAAGTACGCCAAAAACATGATACGGCGTCGAGCAAGTACCCCACATACACACAAATATATACACATAGTAATACAAGTATTACCGCCGCAATACCAGTTGAGGCAAATCGACTCAACTAAACTGAAATTGGCGTCAGTGGCACTTTAGTGCCTTTGTTGTTATTGCTCTTTTCATTTTTTTTTTTATTGCATTTTTCACTGTACTTAGAAAGGAAAGAGGAATTAAAGTTGTTAAAACGGACGATGATGCAAGGGATACCAAACCTCTCAACTATGTACATATATACACACGAGCAAGCAAAGGAGGGCGCGCTGAAGGTAACGGTGCTTTGTTCGCRGCGAAAGCAGATGATGCTGGTTCATGATGTAAAACATTTTTTTTTTATAGGACGGTGGTGACGCGTGGCACATTGAATTTAAAGAGGTGCTTTGTATTTCACACATACATACACATAGGTACATAAGCGTGGGTATGATGTTTGCGTTYTAGCTGAGCCAACATGTAGGCAAATAATGCTATAAGCCACTTTGTTTGGAAGTATGGGTTTTTTGACTGTAATGAAACATCAGTTCATACACATTTACTGTTTATGTGTAAATTCTAAGCTTACACAAAATTGTGGTGAAGCATGCCCTCAACCTAACTTAACCTACCTTAACTTAACTTAACCACTTATTAATACAAAAGTGCTTGTTATTTCCTTTGTGACCCTTTCAATGCTCGCTGCCATCTTTAGAATATTTGTTTGCTAATTTTCTGTATTTTTTTTTTATTTTGACATATTTCTTGCTTTCAATATTTGCTCACGTTAGTTCATTTTGTTAATTACCAAATCGGTTGTTTATATTAACAGTAGTTCGAAAATACGTACACTTTCTCAATTTGTTATTGACTTTAGAAAGGGCTTCAGAGAAAATGTATCCACGAATTACCGCTGAAATTTATTTTTATGCCCTGAATATCATATATTAAGTTGCCAAGAAGAACACTCAGATAGAAACGTGGGGGAGACTCTTAAAAAAGTATATAATACATAAGTGATAAGCGTGGTAGGAGGATAGAGTCATGTGTAGAAGTTCTCGCAAGTGAGGWGAGTTCTCTGAGTTCCAATGGGTGTGGCCAGAAACGATTCTTTTACATATGGCTCATGACTTGCTATCTTAAACCAATAACCATCCCTCCCCATAGTTCTGCGCTGGGTTTGGGACCTGTCACGTAAAAACGTACCCAAAGAAAAGGAAACAACTGTCTCGACGAACAAAAGCCAAACTATTAAGTCATTCATTATTCCCGTCCTGTTATATGGTGCAGAGGCATGGATGATGACAATATCTGATGAGTCAACGTTACGAGTTTTCGAGAGAAAGGTTCTGCGGAAAATTTATGGTCCTTTGCGTATTGTAAACGRCGAATATCGGTTTCGATGGAACGGGGAGCTGTATGAGATTTACGACGATATTGACACAGTTCAGCAAATTAAAAGACAGCGGCTATGTTGGCCAGATGATCTCGTTCGAATGGACGAAAACACTCTAGCTCTGAAAATATTCGACGCGGTACCCTCCATTCCGTTGGTAAGACCAGGTGGAGAAGGATCTGGCTTCGTTGGGAATCTCCAATGGGCGCCAAAATACGWAGAAGAACAACGACTGGCGCGCTGCTGTAAACTCGTGTATAACCGCGTAAGCGCTGTCTACGCCAATAAAGAAGAAGAAAACATGGCGAGCTGAATCCCTCTGTCGGCTGTATATGCGCAAACTCGTCCCYCAATTTTTAACATATTGATATGAAATTTTGCATGCATCTTTTTCTCCCCAAGAAGGTGATCATTTGGCGAACGACTAGATAGCTGCYATACAAGCTGACAAAAAACATAGTTCTTCTATGTAAACTTTTTGTATGTGTGAAGGGTGTTATAGCTTCAGTTAGAACTGAAGTTAACAAGGTTTCTTGTTTTTTTTTTTTATTATAATTTAACCTCTTCTCATAGCTCCGGTAACATAATGAGCGTAACGAATTGCTTAGCTATTTAACAGCTTGCTCTCACACACATACATAKTTGCTGTTTGTGGTAAATTCAATTCGTTTCACAACGCCATTAGCGTGTCGAGAGGCAAGTTGTTGTTCTGTGCTATTTCGTTTGCTTGTTGGTAACTAGTAACTTGAACTTTTAACAATAATATTGTTATGGAAATTTCATTGTTGCTTTTGCAACATCAGCTGCTTTGCATTAAAATAACATTTTTTTTTACATCAAATTTATGTTAAATTAGTGTTAAGTAAATAAAATTTATACAGCTTATAAATTAGTTATCAAACATGAAATCGATAATAATCGTAATAGTATATTATCGAAAAAAATAGCAGTAAACTTACCGCATCAACTGCGAATTGTTGAATCATTAACTTGCCTTGCATTTATTCTTTTAAGTTGTGACTTGATAATTTTGAAAATATGCACAGTAATTAACAAACGTTTCCGAGACGATTTAAAAAGGGGAGGCTTTAAGTTATTGTTGCACTTTTAGCAACATTTTCACCTACACGCCGCTTTGTTGCACCAATGTACGTTTCTGTGTTTGCACATTTGGTCCGCTGCGCTAAACAATGCAAAGGCAAGAAATACTAATAAAAGAAAAGCAATCAAAATTAAAGAGATAGTCAGCTGAGTGGAGGAAAAGAAAATGCAATAATAATAAAATAGAACGTACAATAGTAAGGTGGTAGCGTTGAAATTATGTAAAGATGCATACAATATATGTATGCAGCTACTTACGTTTCTACCTACATAAGCATGTATAAATAAAAAAAATGTAGTGGTGTTGGTGTTGGTGCTTGTGGTGGAAACATCGAAAACTTAAATAAATGGCATCAGCAACTGTTGCTCTAGATTTTCTTTTGTTTTTGTTAGTGCTTGTACTGAAGTATGTTCGCTAGTGGATATCTAGTTGCCGTGAATTTCATGCATTCTTGCCTCCGCTCACACTTGCCTACATACATACATACGAGGGCAAATGCCTGTGCATTTCGTGCTGTCTGCTTGCCTGTCTACACGCTGTCTACTGCTGCTCACCGTCATATGTTTGCATTTAGACATGATTTTATGTGTGCGCATCSATATGTATGATCGCCACGTGCTTCGCGTTTTTTATACTTATGTGCATATTTCTATTGAGACAACTTTTACTTTCAAATACGGTTGCTGCTGAGAATGTGGCTGCGCGTGCTGCCTCCTTCTAAGTGTGGACTATAAACTTAAATATAACGTTGCAACGTCRTATGTTTTAACCACTTTCTACTACTCTTCTATTCTACTGCATTTTTTAAAAGTTTTGCTAATCTGAGTGTCACGCATCCATTAGAAACTTAACGTGGCATTTATTTATTTTATTTTGTTATTATTTTTTTGTCGAACGTGAAGTGCTAAATTATTTTCGGAATAATTAACGTTATAAGTCTTATAATATTCAATAACAAAAAGCAATGTCTAAAAGGGTAATAGTAAAGTGAAACCTTCCATTTGCTTAAGTTGCACTGGAAATAGGTATTTTATCTTTGCGTTGTTCTATGTAGTTTTTGTCTAGTTATTCCTAATATTGCCTTTCTCCCTAAGTTGCTGCTCATTTGTCAAAGCCGCCGATATCGAACCACAAAAGCAAATACCACCATACAAACCAAATCAGCAAATTCAAGTTACTGCATGGAAAACGTTTTTATTTGACAAGATACCGTCACGAAATTCAGCATCGACTACCTCGCGAGTATAAGTTTCAGATGGGATTACTATATGGTATAACTGCCATACAAATTGACCGATTAAAGTAAAGTCGTCACGAAATTTGGCATGCAGTTTTGTTTTTCTGGCATGCAGAATTCTGCCGAGTTGACAGTCCCTTGGCCGGTTAAAAAATTAGAGTCCATTCCGGTTAAGTAGACCCCATTGTTGTGGGAACAGTACAATCTCYGAAATAATTGTCTAAATCACACCACTAATGTTATCGCTTTTTATTGTTTTATAAACAGATTTGCTTCCTTGCTTTTGTTTATTAAACAGCCAAACATTCCGGTTGAACAAACTTTTGTATCATTCTAATCTAATATTTTACTTTTATATATGTATGTATTTGTGCGTTAGTGGGGGCTTCCCTCGTAACTAATACTTCATATAGAAACTGTGTTGTTGTATTTTTTCCGCTTATCTCTGCACATCACACATGCCACACACCATCATTGTGATTACATCACAGTTGTTTATATTTTTTTTATACACGAAGCTTTGCTAATCAATTTAACGTAAGAGACTAAAGATTCCCATATGTTTTATATTATGTGATTGGGACTTCCCATAGATTCCTGCATAATTGACACTCACTTAATTCTATTTAATAGCTCTTTGTAGACGGTTTCACTTCGACATTTAAACCAATTGGCACTTTTTTTTTTAGTTTTCATACGGCATGTAGGTATGTTTTTGTTTATTTCGCCCGCATTTATAATATACATTGTACATATACATATATATTACAATTGTTTTGTTGTTGTCGTGTCTGTAATTTATACACATTAAATATTTAAATGCGGGTCTATGAATATTCACTCTCTCGCGCATTAAAACGAATTCACCTACGAATGAAGGTGTGCATATTACTCTACCCCACTTTATAGGCCATTACACAAGCGCCGCTGGCGCAGCTATAGCAYYWWACCCTGAACAGGTTATATTAAGTTGCTCACGAAGTGTATAACACCCAGACGGAAGCGTCRGTGAYCCCATAAAATCCATACATAWATGATCAGCGTGGCGAGCTGAGTCCATTTAGCTATGTATGTCCGTTTGTATATTTGTATGTACGACAACTAATCCCGCAGGTTTAGAGATATCGTTTTGAACTTTACATAGGTCCTTCTCTCATTATTGTCGGAAACGTCGTTATCAGACTATAGTAGACAAAGACATAAAGCAGCCATATAAACTGACCGATCAAAATCACGTTCTTATATGTAAACTTTTGCTTTGTGAAGGGTATTATAGCTTCGGTGCAGCCGAAATTAACGTATTAATACAATTTATGTACGTGCGTACGTTTGTATATGATTTACTATAAGACATTTCATTTCAATTCACTTCATTCTCAGCCACTCGCCGTTCCATTCTTACTGCTTTTGTTGCCGTCATATTTAGTATTTGTGGTTAGGTTTCACTATAATTCATTTTTGAACTTTAGCCATTAGAATTGTTGTTTGTCTTTCCGCTGCCGCTGACAGAGTTGTTCAAGCGTTCACTTTACATAACTATGTACATACATAGCGTATTTACATGCTGACTTGATTGTTTTTATACATTTTATTTGTGTGTATTTGCTATTGCGGTGTTTCATTCGTACCAGTTATTTGTTTTGATCTTATCTTCTTCGCCGCGATATTCGTCTTTTGTCATTTCGTGTGTATGTGACTTGAAATACATTATTTTTTTTGCTTTTGCTTTGAAATGTGGTTACGCTAATGTGCTGCTGCTCTACGAGCTATTGTTGCCGAAACTACTACCCGTATGTATTTATTGTTACCCATAAAATTGTATTTTATAGATTCACACACGCATTACTTTATGTTAACACATACAAACTACGCTTGCGCGTTCATAATTTAACCTTCCCCATATGGACTGCCTAACTGTTGAGGGCTAATTTGATTTTATTACACTAAAGTCCTTCTACTGCTGTTCATATAAATACAACCGTGCTCGATTTGCACAGTTGCTTTGTAAACTTAAATATTATTTTTTTTTTAGATAATCTCAGCTTAAATAAATACCTCTGTTAAGTCATAAGTCTGCAGTCTCTGTGTGGTAGTGTTTTATATTTTTAAAGTGATTTCCCTGACGTTGAAAACCAACTCACCTTAACAATTTGTAGTGAGACCACTAACTCAACTACTCGTATAATTAATAGAAAGTATTTAATTTGGTTTTATTGTAATGTACAATAATATCCTGCAATACTTGCGTACTTGCACTAATTAAGCCTTAAAAATTATTACCAATTATCCTCTCGCTACCCAATTCTTTCTTTGCCGTAAAACATTTTCCCGCCAAATTATGCATGCACTCAAATTGGTAACTGGCTTCTTCGCTCGAATTTATTTTATGGCCATGTTTCAGCTTTTATGACCCATCAGCCGTTGTTTTATGTTTTCCTTATCGCCAATGGCAGTTGACCAAAATGTGACTTCTGCTTCTTACCGGCTTTTTTGTGCTCTCTTCGCGTGAATTTCTCGTTTGCATGTTCCTGCCATTTACTTTGCTCGTTCATAAAACACTAGCAAAGCATGCTACATGTTAATGGTTTCTGATTACTTGCAAGCACGTTTCCGTCGCTGGCATCGTCATCGATTCCATTTGCTATCCTTTTTTAGCTTGTCGTCAGTGGTTGTGCTTAAGTTTATTTTTGGATTTGTTAGTTTTACTTTTGTAAATGTATTGAAGAGGTTATGTTCCTTACAAAAATTTACATGCCAATTTATTTCAAATTTCTTATTTATTCAAAAATGTACCGTAGTGATGTTAAAACTTATATGTAATTTTTGTAAATTTTACAAAATGTTTTTCCGGAAAAAATAAAAATTAAAAAAATTTATTGAACCAATTGTTACAATTCTTTAAAAACTTTCAAAATAAGCTACTTCCGCGTCGATGCAGCGCTGTCAGCGCGATTTCCAAGGATTGAAGGCGTCGCGGAAGGCATCCTCTGGAATAGTCTTGAGAGGTGCATGTTGCTTCCTCTCAAAATGCCTCTTTGTCGTGGAATCATGCTCAAAGATCCATAATTCGTCAYCTATGATTACGTTATTCAAAAAKTAGGGGTCACCTTCACACATRTTGAACGTTTCTGGCACACTTCCAYWCGCCACAATTTCTGGYCGTCAGTGAGYACTTTTGAGACCATCTTCGCGCACACCTTGCGCATGTTCAAGTGCTTTGTCATGAACCAAAGATTTTAATGAATCTA